CCATAGTTTGGTTATCCATTCCTCAGTTGATGGACACCTAGGTTGTTTCCATCTTTTGGCTATTGTATATAGTGCTGCGATGAACATGGGTGTGCATATGTCTGTTCTTGTCACGGCTCTCACTTCTTCAGGATATATACCTATTAATGGAACAACTGGGTCAAATGGTGTTTCTAATTTCAACTTTTTAAGGACTCACCATACTGCTTTCCACAGTGGTTGTACCATTTTACAGTCCCACCAGCAGTGTATTAGAGTCCCAATGTCTCCACATCGTCGCCAGCATTTATTATTTTCTGTCTTGAACTTTGCTACTAGTGCTGGGGAAATCCATTCTGTCTTGCAACTCTCTTGACTTCCTCACCATTTACAAGTTCTGCAACTACATTATTTTTTCCCTCTTTTTGGTTTGTAGTTGTCCTCATTTGCAGTTGATGTCTCTGGTTCCTTGTTTACAATCATGTAAGCTTATTTTACTTTGGATACTTCCATAGCTGTGTTGGTTTCTGGATTATGTCATCTTGTGTATTAATTGTCTGTTGTTGTTTGCTATTACTGCTTCTCTGTTCAAAGGACTCCCTTTAGTAGCTCTTTTAAGATTTGTTTGGTTTTAACAAATTCTCTTAATTTCTGCTTATCTGAAAATTTCCTAATTTCACCATCATATTTGAGGGACAGTTTTGCCCAGTATGTAATTCCTGGTTGGAAATTTTTCTGTTTCAGGGTTTTATATATACCAAATCATTGTCTACTCACTTGCATGGTTTCTGCTGAGAAATCAGAACTTATTCTTATTGATTGTCCTTTGGAGGTAACTTTTCGTTTTTCCTGTGCTGTTTTCAGGATTCTTCTTTTGTCTTTGGTTTTGGTAAGTTTGATGATGATATATTTTGGTGATTTCCTTTCTGGGTGTGTCCTATTTGGGGTTCATTGGACTTCCTGAATGGATATATTCTCATCTGTCATCATGTAAGGGAAGATCTCTTCCATAAATCTTGTACAATTCTCTCCGTGGTTTTCTTTCTCTCTTCCTGTTCTGGAATTGGGTTACATGTAAGTTATTCCTCTTCATGGTATCCCACATGAACTTTTGGCTTTCTTCATTTTGTTTTGATCTTTTTTCTGATTGATCCCTTTCCAGAGAAGTATTCAGGTATTTGTCTTCAATCTTATTAATTCTGTCTTCCATTGATTCAATTCTGCTCCTTTGCCCTTTCAATGTGTTATCTATTTCTGAAAATTTAGTATTAATCTTCTGGATTTCTAGCTATAGATTTTGTATCATTTCTGATTTTCTCCTTTGTTTTGTCATTTTGTTCTTGTATTTTCTTATGAAATTGTTCTAGAGCTTTATCTGTGTTTTCCTTTATTTTTGTCATCATTGATCTGTCTCTCAGTCCTTTGAAGGTACCTAAATGTAATTCTTTTGAATTCCTCATCAGTAAGTTCTAATGTTGCTGCTTCTTCAGGATGTGTTCTGGGTCTATATCCTGCTTCCTTGTTTCTACCACTTTATCTTGCTTCTTTGTGTGGACAGTGATGATCTTTTGTCTACGATACATTGTAACATTGTTGTATTTAGATCTCTATTAACTGTTTGTGAAGAGCAGTTAAGGATGAGTCAGGCTCTCCTTGGTGGTTGTTTATCATTGGCCAATTGGTGGAAAAGGAGGTGGCTCTCACTCAGTAAGTGGAGCTGTGGGAGGTATGGGTGTGGTTGCATCATATGGGCATGGCTGCTGTGTCCCACTCAGATAAATACAACAGTCAGAAAACCATCAAGCAAGTGGACAAAAAACACACCACAAAAACACACAGGAACAATCACCAACAAAACAAAACTGCAGTATCTGGGAGGGGGCAATAAGAGAAAAGAGGTAGAGCAGGAGAATAATTAGGAAAAAAAATGTGAAAAATGCAAAAAGAAAAAAAGGAATGGGGTTTATCATGAGAAAGAAAACAGATAAGAATAAACCAACTGACAAAAGAAAAGGAAAAAAATATATATATATATGGGCAGGGCAGGCCAGAGGATCCAGGTTCCGTAGGAGCACACAGACTTGATGAAATTCCTGCCAGCCCACAAGGTGAGTGAAAGTGAGGGATGGCTGCACCTCCGTTCACCAAGAGAATGTGGAATATAAGGGTAACAAGGGGACTATCACACCTTTCCAGTCTTTGGCATCTTGGATGTCTTTGTGGTCCCTGGCAAGTGCAGCCTATTCGTAGGTCCCTGGAATCTGAGAGAATGCTGTCATTTTAAGTTTCCAAAATGGTTGAACCACTTGCAAATTTTCAAAATGGCTGTGCCCTCTGGACAGCTCTACCCATCTCCCTCTTCGCTGCTTCTCCTTTTTTTCACTGGCCACCAGTGAGTCCTTCATGCAGCCCCTAACTCACAGGGCTGATTTTTAGGTTAATTTTTAGGTCCTAACACCACTTGGCAATATCCTAGCTGTCCATGCTGTCAGGATCGCTGACAGATCACAGCTCTTATGTCTCCTTTTCGGTGTTTTCATTCAGGTTCTTCTACTAGTAGGGGTTTAGTCCACTTCTGTATCCTTCCTTTCAAAGCTCCGGACTCCAGGATTATCTTTTGTATCTGTGTTAATTTTTTAACTTTTCTTTGTTGAACAATGTGACGGTTATGTTTGTGTGTCAACTTGGCGACCTGGGGACTTAAAATGGACTTGAATTGATGGCCTGCTATGTGGTTTGGTAATGTTGGGACTGTGCCTTTTTATTTGTCAAACTTGGGCTTGGCAGCCTCAGCAGCCAGCAGCTGTCTGAGTGAAGAAAAGCCTGTAGCTTCTGTGGGCCGGGAGCAGAAGGCAGAGCTGAAGCCCAAGGCTGAGGGGCTTTCACCCAACCCCTAGAGTCTGGCACTTTGAACTAGGACCTAAAGCCTCCAAATTCTAAGAATAAACTCCTCTTTGTTAAGGCCACCCCATTTGAGGTATATTCTTGTCAGAGCGGCACTAGGTAACCAGAACAAAGAGGATCTGTGTCGTTTGTGTGCTTATTCTGCTATCTTACCAGAACCACCGACCATGTGTTTTTAAAGAATCATTAATGTGCTAGAATAACTATGGCTAAGCAGGAACTGAAAAGTCATCTTTCCAAAAGTAGCCAGGAATTGATAAGGGATGTATGAGTGCAGTCCCCTTCAGTCTGAGTCAGCACAAGTTACTTATTTGAAAAATTGTTTTTTTTTTTCCCCCTTTTAGCTAATAGGTTAGATCAAAACACCACCCTGCATTCTCCAGAGTCTAAAACTTTGGAGGATACTGTTTTTAGTTTCTCCAGATATTTGACTTTTGGGGGTTAGGAGAATACAGAGTAACTCCTCTTCATTCTTCTCTCTGTGAACCAACCAAGTTCCGTCCACTACAGTGTCAGACAGGCCGTCCTCTAAGTCTGGATCGTAGTTATAAGACCTTGCACATGGCTTCTCTGATTATCCTTTCATCTTTTCCAAATAGTTGAAGTAGTAGGATTGGTAAATGGCCCTGTACATAAATCTGAGGGGTAACACAGGTAGTATCTAGCCCTGGGGTAGTTCATAACTTTGAGAAGAGTTTTATGGTTTCATAAGGAAAGAAGAATAAGAAATGTAATTGTTCACATGCAAATGATGGATTTTTTATTCCATTAAAATACTTTTGTCTTATCTTTTAATTTGTACTCCATTTTGAGTAATTCATTGAATGTATTCCTGCTAAGTGAAGTTCCACTGTTTTGAAAGTACTTTATTTTTAATTATAAAGCACAATAACTATAGCCCACATCCATCATATTTTTATGTAAATAAATGCTCTTCCATATTGTAGTTACTTTATGAACTTGAATATTTTCATTTGAAATCTGACTGTTCACATACTAAAATACGATTATCAATATTGTTTTAAAATACTATAAAAAGGAAAATTTATACTGTAGATCATTAATTGCCATGTCAAGTTTGGCCTAAAGATTTATTTTTTTTTTCCAGATACCCAAGATGACAAGGAAAGAATTCAAAAGTATGGAGCATTTATACGTACTCTTCCAGTGGTCAATCGAGCAACATTGGCAGCTATAATTGAACACCTTTACAGGTGGGTGGATGCATGAACTTTTCTAGACATTCAAACATGGCACTCAATAAGTTATTATTTCTTAAATTGAAAGTGTGAATAACCCCCTGTGTGTGACTGAATCTTTCCTCAGATCTTAAGAACTTTTTCAATTGAAATTCCTGTGAAACTATCACTTTAGCTTCTCTTTCCATGTAACTAACTTACATACACAGAAAAATAGCACTGGAGACTTTATTAAATGAATCAGAAATAATCAAATAGTATGCCTACAAATGCATCCAGTTTATGGGGAAGAGTTTTAACAGTTATTTGAGAGGGGTATTGGAGAAGGAGGCAGTACAGAGACCAGACTTCTATTGCAGGAATCTCACTATGAGTACAATTGTTTTCTTTAGATACTTCATAAACTCTCATGTTTTTATTATCACTTTATATTTTACCCAACTTTGATGTCAGACCATTGATTAGATGAGGAACTTTTAAAAGGTAAACACAATGTCTGTGTCAGGGCATGACATCTTCCAGCATTTAGAAAGATACTGTTTTTGTTAGGTACCCTCAAGTTGGATCTGACTGATAACAGAACGAAACGCCTGGTCCTCACAATTCTTGCTATGCTTCCACCCATTGTTGAAACCACTGTGTCAATCCATCTCATTGAGGGTCTTCCCCTTTTTCATGCTTTTTAGCAACCATGATATCCTTCTCCAGGTATGGCCCCTTCTGACAACCTAACCAAAGTAGGTGAGAGAATGTCTGGACATTATCACTTCTAAGATAGCATACAGACTGTACTTCCAAGACATATTTTTTGCTCTGATAGTCTATGGTATTTTCAGTGTTCTTCACCAGTAACAATTCATATACATCAGTTCTTCCTCCATCTTCCTTATTCACTGTCCACCATTCACATTCCTGTGAAATGATTGAAAGGACTGTGCCTTGAGTCAAGTGTACCTCAGTCTTCAAAGTGACAACTTTGATCTTTAATGCTTTAAATAAGTCTTTTCCAGCAGACTTTCCCAGTGCAATAAGCCATCTGATTTCTTGGGCATTGATTGTGGATTCATGATGACTTGTGAAATGAGGTCTGAGGGATGAGGATGTGTGAAAGTAAAATTTTAAGTTCATACAAAAGGTTTATTCTGTTTATTTCCCTGTCATCAAGAATTAATATAAAAACTTTAATAGCATTTTAAATGTAAATTTTGCTTGAGGAATAACTTTTGTAGCATACTACATGTCTAAAAGTCTTTTTGAGTGTTTCTATAAAGCTGAATTCTACTATTGTTACTAGGCACCAGTGAGGTGATTTTGACTCACAGTGACCTTATGTGACAGGGTAGAAATGCTCTCTAAGTTTTTCTAGGCTGTAATTTTTAAGGAATAAGATTTCAAGGTCTTTCTCTTGTGGAACCGCTAGGTGTGTTAGAACTACCAAACTTCGGGATAGTAGCTGAGCATTTGACCAGTGCATCACTAGGCCTTCTTTGAATTCTACTAATAATAACTTAGTTAGAATCTAGATTTAGAAATTATCTAAAATCTGTTTTCTTTTCTAGCTGTCTCTCTTTTCCAGCTATTACTTCCCATACATGTAAAATTTGTTCTTGTATGACTCATTTTCTTATTGTATCATATAATCTCTATAATATGTTATGAGGGTTATCATTGCTGATGTCAGATAGATTTGGCTGAAAGTAGAGAATACCAGAAAGATGCTACCTGTTTTTTCTTGACTATGCAAAGACATTCGACAGTGTGGATCATAACAAATTATGGAAAGCATTGTAAAAAACGAGAATTTCAGAACACTTATTTGTGCTCATGAGGAGCCTATACATAGATCAAGAGGCAGGTGTTTGAACAGAACAAGGGGATAGTGTATGGTTGAAAATCAGTAAATGTGCACCTTAGGGTTTTCTCCTTTCACCATTAACAATCTATGATATGCAAATGACACAACCTTGCTTGCTCAAGGTGAAGACTTGAAGCACTTACCGATGAAGATCAAAGACTACAGCCTTCAATATGGATTCCACTTCAGCATGAAGAAACCACACATCCTCACAACTGAACCAATAAGAAATGTCATAATAAATGGAGAAAAGATTGAAGTTGTCAGATATTTCATTTTAATTGGATCACAGTAGTCAAGAATTCCAACAACATATCATATTGGGCAATATGCAAGAGACTCCTTTAAGATGTTAAAAAGCAAAGACATCATCTTGAGAACCAAGGTGCACCTGACCCAAGCCATGGTATTTTCAGTCACCTCATATGCATGCAAAAGCTGGGCAGTGACTAAGGAAGATCAAAAAGAATTGATGCTTTTGAATTATGATATTGGTAGAGAACATTGAATATACCATGGACTGCCAGAAGAACAAACAAATCTGTCTTAGAAGAAATACAGCCAGAATCTTCCTTAGAAGCAAAAATGGTGAAACTTCATCTCATGTAATTTGAACATGTTACCAGGAGGGATCTTGGAGAAGAACATCATGCTTGGTGAAATAGGGAGTCAATAAGATAAAGGAGGACCCTTAATGAAATAGATTGACACAGTGGCTGCGGTAATGGGCTCAAAACTCACAGCGATTGTGAGGATGATTTATGAGTTGGCATTATATCATTCCGTTGTGCATAAGGTCACTGTGGTAGTTAAGTTGTGTGTCAACTTGGTTGGGTCTGGTTTTGAGTGGCTGGGCAGCTGGAGGTAGTTATTCCTTATCATGAGACTGGTCATCAGCTCCATGATGGAAGCTACTGGAGCAGCTGAGTAGCTGCCTTAGGGACGTGGTCTGCTTCCACTATACAAGATGACAGCTTTGAGGAAGGTCTCAGCAGCTTTTTGGTGCACTTGGACCCTGCATGTGTAGCCAAGTCTTCATTCACCATGCTATGTTGTCTGCCAGTCTTAGGATTGTTCCTGAATTTGAACCAGTGGCCTGCTGTGTTGTTTAATAATCTTGGGACTGTGCCATTTTGCTTGTTGGCTAAGGGATGTCTCCAATTTCAGTGGGCCAAGAGCAAAAAGTAGAGCTGAAGCCCAAGGTCGAGGGGCCTTCACTCAGCCCCTAGAGTTGCACTTTGAACTCAGACTTCCAGCCTCCTAAACTATAAGAGAATAAATCCCTATCTGTTAAAGCCATCTCACTTATGGTATTTTCTATTAGAACACTGCTAGAGAGCCAGAGCAACCACTATAAGTCAGCAGCACCTAACAGCAACAACATCTCTTTGCCTATGAAATATCGAGACAGATCTTAATGGGGATAAATTTAGTATATGATAGAGATTTATTGAGAAGAAATCATTGATTAATTGTGTGCTGAGTTCAAAGGAATGCTTCTATGCTTCAAATTGAAAAGTACATATTAATTGGGCATGAAAGAAACATTAAGTATGCAAAATGAGTAAAAGATATCTTTTTGGAACCTAGAGTGCTATGAGATAATACTGTTGAATGTTGGCTGGCAGAAGGTTGTGAAAGGCTTTCTATATCATGTAGGATATTTACATATTATTCCTTTAAGTAATTAAGAGTTACTGATCAGTTTTTTTTTAGAATTATTTCTGCTGGTTGAGAAGAGGAAGAATAGACATAGAGACTAATTAGGTAATAACTTCCTTGGACTTCTGATGTAGGGTCTGAGTGAGAAGAGCAGGCTGAAAAGAATGCTAACATCAGGGGGCAGAAGTGAAGGAATAAAAGGAAATGGTATATTTCAGTTGTTTATGCCAAAAATTAATGTAGCCACAGAGACTAAGGATAAAGAGAGAGATGAACAGAGTAGCAAAGGAAAATGGTATAGAAAGAAGTCTCAAGGAGGAAAAGAATGTTGGATAGTGTCAAAATTTGGATGAGAGCCCATTGATTTAGCACTTATTTCATTCCCTAGCCTAACAGTCCATGGCTATTGCTTTTGTCATTATTGTGGCTAGGTCCTGTCAAGTCTGCTCTGACTCATAGCAACCAGTGTACAACAGAACGTAACACTGCCCAGTTGTGTGCCATCCTCACAATCCTTGTTTTATGTATGTATGTGTATGTGATTTATATATATACACACATATAGAAATGTATACATATACGTATGTATGTCTGTGTGCACGTGTGTGTGTGTAAACTCACTACCATTGAGTCGGATGTGACTCATAGTGACCCCTCTTTGAGTTTCCGAGGCAGTATCACTATGGAAGTAGATTGCCCAGTCTTCCTTCCGAGGAGTGGCTGATGGGTTTGCACCACCAGCCTTCTGGTTAGCAGTCAAGTGCATATGTGTGTGTGTATAAAAAAAAAAAAAAAGATAAGAAACCCACTGCCATTGATTCACTTCCCAACTCATAGCAAACCCTCTTTGGGCTTCCGAGGCAGTATCTCTACCGAAGTAGATTGCCCAACCTTCCTTCTGAGAAATGGCTGGTAAGTTTGAACTGCCCGCCTTCTGGTTAGCAGTCAAATGCCTTAGGCACTACAACACCATATGTGTGTATGTGTGTGTGGGTATACACATATATATGCATATATATATCAAACTTCCTTTCATTGAGGTGATTCTGATGCAGAGCAACCCCTATTGGATACTCAAGGCTGCAAATCTTTACAGAAGCAGATTGCCCCCATTTTCCTTCCACAGAGTGTCTGGTGCGTTTGAACCTTCAACCTTCTGGTTAGCAGATAAATGCCTTAGACAGCACACCACCAGAGCTTCTTAATCCGTGAGTAATACTACTAATCCATGATTAGTATTACTCAGTTCCATGCACTGAATATTTAATATTTCAGCTACAGTGTGGTTAAAGCCACAGTTTCTAGCTGTGAAATGTTTAGATTCTATAAACAGAGGCAGACACAGAAGACACATATTCTGGATGTTTACAATCTAGTTGGTAACAGTACAGAAGTGGTTGTGTGAGGCATTTTCACAATTATCCCATCCTCTATTAACTTCCAGTTTTCTATGCATCTGGTAAATCATATATGATCACACCTGCTTTACCTGTCTCTGCTAAACTGTGCATTTTGGGGGGAGTTTTACATAGTATGTAATTCTGTTACCTTTATTCACTTTTTCACCTCCCTACTAGAATATATGCTCTTTTATAGATAGGAGTACCTAGCTTGGTCTTGTCATATTCGCTTTCTTTGGTGGAGTTTGGTCTCTTTATTTAATCTGTATTTAAAATTCTCTGAATGTAATTAAACGAACAGTCTAGCAGCTGCTGTATGTGCAGTGAGTGACAAATAGAATTAACAGATTTTCTCATTTATCATACTGCTCATGTAGTCCGTTTTTATTAACATAATGTTTCCTTCCTTGGGGTGACTACCGTCACTTATTATTATTATTATTACTTTTAACTTGTGAACACTTTAAATACTCATTATAAACCCAAGGGTTGTGGCCCACTGACTGAGGGAGTTGACTTACTTGATCATATCTGTCAGCGTGGACCCAAAAGCTGCTTTTTCCAAATGCCAGTATTCCTGAAACATGAAGAAAGCTAATGCTCGAAGGGAACTGGCTTGTCATCTAGCCCAGCATTCTAATGTTACATTAAGAAACTAAATCTAGAAGAAAAAAGAAAAAAGAAAGGTTTTATTTTAAAGAACCATTCTTACTTATATCCAGGAAATGTGTGCTTTTCTTTTTTCAGTTAGGTGTCTGCTTTGTGAGACACACTGTTCTACTTTGAATCAGCAAACACACGTGCTGCCCCGTATTCTTTGTCAGCTGCTGTGCACATTCCTTAAAACTGAGCTCAACCCTGACCTGCAGTATGGAACCCGCGACCACTCTGTGCCTCCCAATCGATTTCTTTCTTTTTTTTTTGCCTTGTTTCCTACTCAGACCCTGTCCTGTTTTACCTTTACTGTGTATATTTCAGTCCCACCTATCTTTCACTCTTCTACAAACACATCCTGACTTTTGGCCACAGGTCATCCTGTTGTCTGATATTCCTTGAATGTGGCCAGTCCGTCCTCTAAATTATCAATCAAGTACTGTTTTGTAACTTGTATTAATTTCTTCCTTAGCAGTAGTTTTCCTTATGTTCTTAACTAATCTGGAAGCTAATCAGAAGAACAAACTGTGTTTTTCTTTGAATCACCAGTACTAAATCAGAGGCCTTCAATATGTGCATTTGAAAAAAAAAAATGATAAATGAGTGTTACGGTTTATAGTTTTATGAAATTTTGAAATAGAAGTATGTCATAATGAGCTGTGTTTTTTTCCTAACAGGGTACAGAAATGCTCAGAAATCAATCACATGAGTGCTCATAATTTGGCCATGGTCTTTTCATCCTGTTTGTTTCAAACTAAGGGACAAACTAGTGAAGAAGTGAACGTAATTGAGGACCTAATTAATAATTATGTTGAAATATTTGAGGTAAATATTTTGCATTCTGTCCCTGTTAAAAATAGTTTCGTTGCATATAAAGCTATGTATTTTAGGATGTTTTAATTCCGTTCTTTATGAATATTTAAAAATAAAGGATAGTGTATGATCTCTGTAATTTTATAATTATAACTAGCTGTTTAAGCTGTAGCTGTTCATTTAAATTCAGGCTCCTTTTAAAGCTTTTTACCATCTGGTGTCTGCTGGACAGAATGGTTCTATATATAGAGCTTTCATTTATTTATTTATTTCCTTTTCTGGATGTGTATGCATTAAGTATGTCTACTTAGAGGTGTGAAATTATAAATTTCATAAGTTGAGTAAACACCAAGCTATTAAGTTCTGCAACTGAAAGCAATTTAAGGTTTTACTTATTTACGTTTTATTGGAAAAAAAAGAAAATTCTGAACTATTATTACTATATGTTTTTTACTAAGACATCTTTGTTTTAATTATTTGAGCCTCCTATTTCCTCTTTTTTGAAGTTAAAATGTTCACATTTTATTAGAAAATTTCTAGAATAAGAATAATTTCTTAGTAAAATTTCTTGGTAAAACTGGTGGAAATAAGGACAGTATTTGAAATTGGAGGATGTGGGTCATCGATTGAGAGCCCTGGTGGCACAGTCGTGGCTGCTAACCAGAAGCTTGGCAGTGCAAACCACCTTGCTGCTTTGTGGGAGAGAGATGTGGCAGTGTGCTCTCATAAAGATTAAGCCTTAGAAACGTTATGGGACAGTTCTACTCTGTATTACAAGATCGCAATAAATCAGAATCAACTTGACAGCAGTGGGCTTGGTTGTTATTTTGGGGGGTGAGAGATGTAGCTCCATCCCTTAATTAGATCCAGTACCTCAGTTTTGTCATTCATCCTTTCTGAGTATTTCATGAAATGATGTTAGATGAGGCTATGGGTAAACAAGATGCAATCCAGTGGGTTAATGTAATAGATTACTATGTGTAGAGTTCTTGTATTCTTATTCTAATATTATCACAAGATTCCTTTGTTAGGAGAAAGGAGCTATTCTGATGAAATAATAGTTTGTATATCTTTATATAGGAGTGGACACCAGAATGGTTGGATTCTCTTTGCTCTCTCATCTCTTTTGTATTTCTTTCTATGTGTCCACTGTTTGATCAGTAGCAACTTTTTGCAATAATTCTGATGCTCAGAAATGATATAATTAGAAAATAAATTAATGTGTGGCTTTACATGCTCTCTTTCTTTACTTCTTATTTTATTGTACTTTCCCATTAATGGAAAATCAATAGTTGTCTTCATAGTTGTGCTAATCCCAACTTTAACAGAATGGTGGAAATGTAATAAGCACTTAATGGACATTTCAGTTTGAGAAATGAGTTTTGTCTCTCAAGTATATAAACTTTAAAGAACCAGTTATCAGTCTTCTTGCTTATTAAATCCCCTTAGCAGGAGGACTTTCATTATCATTCTACAGCCTGAAGTCATATCATGAGAAAATGTTCTAGACGTTATTAGACTCTATCTTGTTTCATCTTCTCACCTAGATACGTGGGCCCGTTCTGATTCAGATGACCATTCCCATTTATTTTTCACATTTTGGTATTTGAATTCCTGAAGAGTTACCTGAGGTTGAGTACCATAGTTCCTTGTGTTCAACATTATTAGAATTTCCCAAATTATATTTTAAACAGGTTAAAGAAGATCAAGTCAAACAAATGGACATAGAGAATAGCTTTATTACCAAGTGGAAAGACACTCAAGTGAGTAGTAATAGTCAGATCGCTAAAGAATTAAAATAAATAAATAACTTTCCATTGTAAGTGAAGACATTTGCTATGTTTATTGTCAAGTTCCTACTGGAAGCAAATTAAAAGTAATAGGGGGGAACCCTAGATAAAATTGTTTTTCTGTAATTCTGAAGCCTGGCATATACAAGCAATATACCAATGCATATTAATATAAACCTTTCAACATATTGAGGGAAAAATCAATACTAAATGTTCAAAGTTTTCCTTTAAAAAATAAAATTTCATATTTAATAAATATATATTGAAAATGCCAGTGGATTTCAAAAGAAGCATCTAAAGCCAAAGACATTTTAGAATAAATTGAAATTTCAGCCTCCTGAGTCTTAATGATTCTTTACTTTAGAACTTAGAAAATACAAATTGTGTCTTTGATGCTTTTGCTCTGCATGCTCTTAAATGACTGTATTAATTGGAGTGTTTCTAATGTGGTCCTTGTAACCATGCTAATTTTTGTCTTCAGTCAGCTTTTCTAGATCCTGTCTTCCTTTCTTCAGCCTCATGCTATTGGAACTGTGTGTTCCCATTGCACTGTAATTTTCCAAGCTACCTTTCCTTGCTGACGAATATTCACTGGAACTTCTTAAGGTTCATGATCAATCATCTAATAACAGGGCCTTGATGTAGATTCCAAGTACCAGTGTAAACGATAGAAATGTTTCAAACGTGCTCTGTTGACAGATAACACTCAGAAGATGAGGCAAATGCATCTGTCTTGGTCAAATCCCAAATTTTTGCCAGTCCTGCAATTTCCATATTAATGAGAAGAGAAGGCTAGATATAGGAGGCTTCCATTTTTAATGCCTGGATTCCCAACTATGAATTCTATGATGTTAAATACCTAAGGAAGTTATCTCTCCCGTTTTGACCTAAAATAATTAATACAGCTTAATTAATGCAGTTATCTTTGACACTATAAATGTCTAGCTCCTCATCAGTACTCTTAAGTTCTCACTTTTTGGGAGGGTTGTAATCGTGAAATAAAGGGTTTTGTGAGCCTGATGGGTAATCTTCGACATGATTTATTCTGCTTTTAGAGAAATGTGACTGTCCTTCTGGATTTTTATCTTTCACATACCGATTATACAAAAATGAGTCTCTGCTTTCTAATTCAGTAAAAAATTACCTAATTAAGTAAAAATAAAGAAAAAATTGTGTGGAAAATGCAGTAGTTGGAGAGAAAAGTAGAAGAGTGTGGAAAAAATCTGTCCTTTTGCTTGAGTTTTTCTCTAATCCATTCAGAACTCTTCTGGAGAGTATTTTCTGACAGTCTCTGTCTTCTTACCTCTGTTTGAATTTCTTAGCTATTCTTTTTGACTTCAGTCTATGAGTTCTTTGCGTTTGCTTTTTTAATTTTTAAAATGTGTCCTTCCTGGAGAGTTGTTTGTATAAGCGTAGTAAAAAGCAAAAATGTCAACTGTATCTTTTCTTCCCTAGAAATTTTTGTGTAGCATCTAACATAAGGAAGAAGAATTTGAAGTTAACTTTTCTAAACCTGTAGTACCATAATAATTAAGAAGCCTCTTCAAAACAACACTTTTAAATGTTTCCCCGCAAATCTACTCATTAGATTCCTCTTCTGAGACAGATTTAATTTCAAAATCATTGCTTATCCATTAGGACCGTTAAAAAAAATAAAATAAGAAAGAAAACAGTGATGGATATTATTTCTAAGTAACTACACACCTTAAGAAAATTTGTGAAAAATACTACTCAATGGATTTCTCATAGATCCAGATGGTTCTTTGTTAATTTTCTTCACATTTTCCTGTCTATCTAAATAATAACATACTGTACTGCCTAATTTTCTGGTTTGTATCTTCTTCATTTATTATGTCTTCTAGAATAATGACCCATATAACTTAATGCTTGGCCAAAGATTATTAAAATAGAGACCTATCACCTTATCACCTGCCTTGTTCTATCACTTCATTGCTAATTTTTCTTGCTAAATTTTCTCTGTAATTTAAATACAGCTCTGACCTAATTTATTCTCAAATTTCCATTTTTTGGGCATATGTTCTGTTTGAAAATTTAGTAGGATTTCACTTCCCTTTTAATTATTAATATGATGCCCACACTACACCCTAAAGCAGAATTACATATGGCTCATTTTCTGCTCTTGTTTTGTTTATCCTGTTAACATGCATTCAACTCCTGTTTTTGTAGTCAGCATATTTCAATTGAAACCTGATTTGTTGTTTCAGGAAGAATGAGAGGGTATTCCGGAACACTAAACTCTGAGTGAAAGATTAAAAATTGTGTTGTGATTGTTGTTGTTTATAACATTTGTGTAGATGTCTTGCCTTTCATCAGTCACATCTGAAAAATAAGGATCATCGTTGCTGTTAATTGGGGAATTGAGCTCATTTCATTATAGTTAGAAATAGAACTAGGACTTTATGACCTTCTTAAGTGTCATGTGTATTCTTGCAACATGCTTACATATGTTGTCTTCACACTTGTCTTTTTCTAGGTTTCACAGGCTGGAGACTTGTTAATTGAAGTGTATGTTGAAAGGAAAGAACCTGACTGTAGTATTATAATTCGTGTAAGTCTTGAAGATGGATGCAAAGAGTACTGTTGAAAATTATCAGTGTTAGACCTAATTCATATATATTGAATTTCCCAGTTCCTTAAATTTTATGTTCTATCTCCAATTCAAACCATGATTAATGACAAGATTAATTTTCCTGCCAGTATCCTCTGGAATCCTAGGATTTGGTCATTTAGATAGAGACCATATTATGTGCTTAAGGTGATGTTTAGGATTTTCTAAAGGTTCTGGAAAATAACAGAGCTCAAATATTATCTCTTCCTTTCTTAGCTATTTAGCAGTAAGCAACTGTATGAGCTTCAGATTTTCCATCTGTGAAATGAAGAAAAATTATAGTATGTACAGCATTCATGTAAGGACTCAATAAAGTAATACATGCAAAACACTTAGAAAATTACTCAGTACATAGTAAATGTTCGATAAATACAAATACGACTGATAATGTTAATAAACTCCTACTTCCATGTACCAAATTTCAGCTGCCAGTCTCCCAATTTACTTAAATATTAGATAATACTTTCTTCCTTGAGAATATTGGTCATTTATTTTGAATTAAAAATAGCTCCTACTTAACTCACTGCCATCAAGTCGATCCTGACTTATAGGGATCCCTCCTTGGGTTTCTGAGGCTGTATATCTATGGAAGTAGATTGCCCAACCTTCCTTCGAGGAGTGGCTGGTGGGTTTGAACCACCAGCCTTCTGGTTAGCAGTTATATGACATATTCATTAATTAGTCTGCAGTAAGCATAGTAGCTGGTATTTTAGGGTCTTATTTAGTAAGACTGCTTTCTCTGTGTGAGGAACAGACAATCTGTTGTATACCAATAGAGATTCAACTTTACCTCTTCATCTTTTTTAAAGTCAAGGATTAACAGTCTCAACTTTAGGTACTTCTGAATTTTAGTTATGTTAAATATATTATAATTGCTAATTTGCATATTTAAATGAATATGTACTATGACCATATGGCACTACTTACCTTACTTAGAATATAGAACTTAAAAACTACAATCCTAGGCTTTGTCCTTATAGGGCAGTTTTCTCTGCACTCATTATCTCTACCACAAACCCCCTCCAATAAAAAAGAGTTGTCGTTGAGTCAACTGTGATGCATAGTGACCCTGTAAGACAGACTAGAACGGCCTCATAGGGTTTCCAAGGCTGTGGTCTTTATCACCACATCTTTCTTCCACAGAGTGGTTGGTGGTGTTAACTGCCAACCTTCCAGTTAGCAGCAAAGTACTTCACCCCACTGTATCACCAGGGCTCCTTTTCTGCACTCCTTAAACAGAAAAAAAAAAACCACTGCAATCCAGTCGATTAGGACTCATAGCAATCCTACAGGACAGAGTAGAACTGCCCCTTAGGGTTTCTGAGGCTGTAAATCTTGACAGAAACAGACTGCCTTGTCTTTGTCCTGCAGAGTGGCTGGGGGTTTGCCAGGCCTACCTTTTGGTTAGCATCTAGCATCGGAATTTTTTAATCACTGTTCCACCAAAGCTCCTTTCTCCACCTTTTAGCTATACTGTATTTCTTCTAATCAGTGTTGTATATGGATCATAATGAAATTTATTACAGATTAATTGTCACAAGCCCATTACTAATACTAGAAGAAGCATTCAGAGTACATGCCTTAACTCTATATAGTAGCACATTTTAACTTTATCTTTCTGGTAGAGCCATAACAGTTTATAACTGAGCTAAATTCTCATGTCATTTTAGGTGTAGTCAGATAAGGATTGTCCAGTTTCTGTTAACAACTCCAAATGCTTTTACAAAACGTAACAAAAACTATAATGAAATAGTTTTTAACACTTTATTTATTTCTTCAGACTACGCAAAGCCCTTTAGTTTTATTTATCTCAGATAATCAATATCTCATTCCACAGAAGTATTTGAAGCAAGTGGTGTCCCAAATTTGTAAGAATGGAAGCTGGGGGGAAACAAACCTAACAAACATTATGGCCAGTACTCAAACTTAGGTCTACATAATTCAGACCTGATGTTCATTACACTGATCTGTGTTATCCTTAGAGTAATGATTTCCAAACTGTGCTCCATAGACTCAAGGGGGTCTAAGGAGAACCCTGAGCCTCCCCTAGAACAGAGAGTGGAGTTCCTGCCTTCCATTCCTCCTTCAACGAGAGATACTCTCCTACCTACCTATTTTACAAGTTTGATTCCTTAATATTTTATTATTTTGAGAAAGGGCTATGCTTCTTAAAATTTTGAAATACATGCGGATGAACATCATTGAAGTGAGTTACCAAATGATATTTCTTACTGCTTCAAGTTCTCCATTTTTCCTAGGTTCTATGTTTTCTTGTTTAAGTTTTATTTCATTGAACTTTTCTAAACAGAATGCATTGGAGTGTATAATTAATATAATCCAAAGAAAACATCAAATTCTATGAAATACAAAGATAGACCATGTGAGTTCCCTGTAATGAAAAATGTTTGTGATTTGTATGCATGCGATGTGCTTATGAGCAGGAATGGGCAGGAGAAATGGAAATGAACACATTCTTTGTGAATGAAGTTTTTAATGGGAACATACTTACCCTGAGTTGTGAAACTGAGTTTAAGTTGCAGTAGTCTAATTCTTAAAATAGCTTAAGTTTGTTTAACATTATAACTAAATTCTAATTGAAGTATGCCAGCTTGTTTTTGGCTAGCATGCACTTAAGACTGGCAAAAACAAAAACAGGAAAAATGAATAAAAAATCCTAAAAATCCCTAGAGAAGGTGGTATGCTTACACAGTGGCCGGAGGTTTTTGGACTCTTGTAGAGCTGAGCCCTGGGCTGTCATTGCAGACTCTGTCCTGTGACCTGAAATCCTGGCTTCAGCTTTGATATCTCACCAACTGCTACTTGGCATAACATGCACATCTCAAACGACTAAAACCCTGAGGCCTATTGGCATGGTGGGCCTGCAACTAACTGTATAATTTAGGGCCTAGACTGAATAAACCCAGCCACTGTGAACTCTTGATGACAGAACTGACAAATGAAAAGTTTTACTGTTGGACAACTATTGACTCAGTTTCTGTTTGACCAGGTACATTCTTCTTTCCTGAGTGTTTTCTTTGGTGACTCAGTGAGAGGAAAATACCATTCCTGATTATGTCTTTGTTACAATGTCTTTTTGCTGTTGCATTACATTGAAATGCTTTAACACTTTATAGAGAAGATCTAAACATCCAGGGTTTTTTATGCATAGAGAAGCTAGTTAAGCATCATAGGAAAAATTTTGGTGTATCCCAATATGGTGTATGGATTCACATAGTGGCTATAACAGTGAACTCACAGCAACGAGTGTGAGGATGGCAGAGGTCTGGTCAATAGTTTATTCTTTTATACACAAAGTTGCTATGAATTTGAACTGATTCGGCAGCACCCAACAACAATATGATACATGTTTTTGTATGCTCCTGAGTTGCTTTCAAGTGTATTTCTTCCGAGACAGATTTTTTCTTCTTCTAGCAATCCATGGTATATTCAGTATTCTTCACCAACACCACATTTCAAATGCATCAGTTCTTCTTTGTTCTTCATTTGGTCCAGCTTTCATATGCATATGACACAATAGAAAATACTGTGGTTTGGGTCAGGCATACCTTCAAAGTGACAACTTTGCTCTTTAGCACTTGAAAGAGGCCTTTTGCAGCAAATTTGCCCAATGCAATATGCCATGTGATTTTTTTTGACTGCTGCTTTCATGGGCATTGATTGTGGATCCAAGTAGAATGGACCATTTGATGACTAAAATCTTTTCTCCATTTATCATGATGTTGCATATATGATGTATGGAGAATCTTGTTGCCCTAGGATAGCCTGTGTGTTTGTCTGACATAGCTTCTGAAGAAATTTTACTTTTCTTATAGATTTCACCTGTAATGGAAGCAGAAGAATTGACTAACGATATATTAGCGATAAAAAATATCATTCCCAATAAAGGTGATATCTGGGCCATATTTGAAGTCATAGAAAATGAAGAGCTTGGTAAGTGATTTTTATACTAGGATTTCTTAATTTTTTTCTTTTTAAGTAAGAAAAATACTGTTTTTTTTCCTTACTGTCTTTACAAAAGTTTTATATTTTACTGAAGGTTATCATCTCATTATAATGCCCTTCTACCTCAATAAACCAAAAACAAACTCATTACCACTGAGTCAGATCCTACTCATAGTGAGCCTATAGGGCAAGGTAGAACTGGCCTGTTGGGTTTCTAAGACTGTAAATCATGATGGAAGCAGATTGCCTCATCTTTCTCCCGTGGAGCAGCTTGTGGGTTCACCTTCTGGTTAGCAGCCACGTGCTTTAACCATTGCACCACCAGAACTGCTCGAAACGTGTTCTGAAATACAGTGTCATCTGAGTTTGCCTTCCTGTAATTTTACTAATCTCAATGATTATATAATTATATGGACTTTAAAAATAGAGTACAGAACACTAGATGTCTGTGTTGCTGACTCAGGGTCTTTGTTTATAAGGATGAATAATTTGATTTGTAATACTATTCTAAATGCCACCACTACCATTCATCTTATTTTTATTTATTATGAATAAAGAATTTTGATTTAAAGTTTTAATTTATTTTAGAAAACAGTTTTGTTCTAAGCCTAACAGAACCTTTTTCTCCCTTACTTTTCATAAATCTTAAGTAAGTTGAACATTTTGTTGTCTTTCATTCCAAAGACACCAAAGGATAAATAAAGCTTTTAAAACACCTTGACTACTCCAATAATCGAGTGCTCAATAAGCTTAACATTCTAACGACACCATTTGGTTTTAAAGACCTCAAGGAAAAAGCATAATAAGATGCAGAGTGTCTTTGTACCTTGACCATCTGTCTAGCTGATACCTACTTAAGGTCTTGGGACCCTTTCAAGTATAGCTGTCAAACTGCCAAGACTAAATCTTGCCACCCGCAAGCTGAAGATAGAAATTAAAATTCAACTTTGAAATACCCTATGGTGTATTGTTAGCAATATTACAGTAAGTGTTAGAATGAAATGGACTTATCAAATACTTAATCTTTTATTGTTCCATCTTAAAGTTTTTATTCTTTTTTTTTTCTTTTTATTGTGCACAATTCTTTAAATATTTAGTTTGCATTAAAATGTTGTTTTCTGTTTCCATTCCAAAATTGAATAACTGTGATAGTGTCTGTTCACTCTGTATCTCCCCCATAGTCAGGCCCAGTTCTCCCCATTTGTGGAAACTATTCTGGCAGATGCTGTGGAATGGCTTTACACTCCACATTACTTGTCCTATCTGTGACATTCTTTGTTAATAACCATTCTCTTCCTTTTTGAAGGTGTTTGTGCTGCTTTCAGGGCTGCCTGCATTCTTCTCCTGGTTCTCTAAACACATTTCTTTGTCTTATTTGTAGCCTTATTTCTTCTCCCTACGTGTTTGCTTTGCCTTATTCTAATCTCCTTTGTGCCATTTCTCATTTTACATGTTCTTTATAGATTGTCTCTTCTGTTCTTTGTGCCTGGCTGGCATGTGTAAACTGGTATTTCACAAATAAATTTTTGTTGTTCTTAGCTGCTACTGAGCTAGCCCCTGGTTCATGACAATCTCATGCACAATAAAATCGAACCAGTGTGATCCATCGGATTTTCACTGACTGATTTTCGGTAGATCACCATGCCTTTCTTCTCAATCTGTCTTAGTTTGAATGCTCCACTAAAACCTAGTTGGTTTCACAGCAACATGCACACATCCATGGAAAGATGCTTGGTGGCTACACTTCAGGTGTATTGACCAAGAATTGGATCTTAGTCTCCTGCACGGAAGAGAACCACAACTGCCCCAAAATATACCTTTACCTTCTCTCTTTGTCCCACCATTTTATGCTCTTTAAATGTAAACTAAGGCTTTTCACTGTGCTGTGTCTTATCTTCTTTTATGGTGCTTTTCACACATGAATATTTATATAGCATTCTTGAAGCAAAGACTCTGTCCTTTTTTTCTTTTTAAATCCCTAATGTCTAGCAGTGTGCTTAGTACATACAAGCATGCAATAAAATAAGCTTACTTTGAATAACTGGAGCATAGTTTTGTGTAACTATGTGGTGAACCACCATTCATCTGTCAGTTTGTCATAATGTGGTGGCTTGCATGTTGCTGTGAGGCTGGAAGCTATGCCACTGATATTTCAATGCCAGTAGGATCAGCCACAGTGGACAGATTTCAGCAGAGCTTCCTGACAAAGACAGACTTGGAAAAAGGAAGGGGCCCTCCATTTCTCAAAAAATGGGCACATGGAAACCTTATGAATAGCAGTGAAACACCATCTGATAAATTACTGGAAAATTTTATGAATAGCCCGGAAACATTGTCTGATATAGTGCCAGAAGATGAGCCCCTTAGGTCAGAAGGCACTCAAAATACAACTTGGGTAGAGCTGTCTCTTCAAAGTAGGGTTGATCTTAATGATGTGGATGGTGTAAAGCTTTCAGGACCTTCATTTGCTGATATGGTGTGACTCAAAATGGAAAGAAACAGCTGCAAACATCCATTAATAATCAGAACATGAAAGGTACGAAGTATGAATCTAGGAAAATTAGAAGTTGTCAGAAATGAACTGGAACGCATAAAGATCCATATGCCAGGTATTAGTGAGCTAAAATGGACTGGTTTTGATCATTTTGAACCAGACAATCATATGATTGATTTGTGCAGAGAATGATAAATTGAAGAGGAGTGGTGTGGCATTCATCATCACAAAAAATGTTTCAAGATACATCCTGACGTACAATGCTGTCGACGATAGGATAATATCCATATGCCTACAAGGAAGACCAGTTAATGCTACTGTTATTCAAAGTCATGTACCAACCACTGAAACTAAAGATGAGGAAACTGAAGATCTTTACTGACTTCTGCAGTCTGAAATTTACCAGATGTTCAGTCAAGATGTGCTGGTTATTACTGGTGACTGGAATTTAAAAGTTGGAAAGAGGAATCACCAGTAGTTGGAAAATATGGCCTTGGTGATAGAAATGACACCAGAGATTGCATGATAGAATTTTGCAATACCAGTGACTTACTCATCTCAAATACTTTTTTTTCAATAACATAAATGGTGGGTATACACATGGACTTCACCAGATGGAATACAGAGTAATCAGATTGACTACATCTGTGGAAAGAAGCTCAGTATCTTCAGCCAAAACAAGGCTGGAAGCTGACCGTGGAACAGACCATCAACTGATTATATGAAAGTTCAAGTGGAAGTTTAAGACAATTAAAACAAGGCCACAAGAGCCAATGTATGAACTTGATTATATCCCACTTAATTTAGAGACTATCTGAAGAATAGATTTGATGCATTGAATACCAGTGACTGAAAACTAGATGAATTGTGGTATGACATCAAGGACATCATACATGAAAAAAGTAAAAGGTCATTAAGAAGACAGGAAAAGAAGAAAAGACCAAAATAAATGTCAGAAGAGACTCTAAAACTTGTTCTTTAATGGAGAGTAGCTAAAGCAAATGAAAAAAAAAAAAAAAATACTCGATAAAAGAACTGAACAGAAGATTTCAATGAGCATCTCCAGAAGACAAAGTCTGTTATTATAATGAAATGTACAAAGACCTGGAGTTAAAAAACCAAAAGGGAAGAACACACTCAGTATTTGTCAAGCTGAGACAAGAAATGAAGAAAAATTTCAAGCCTCCAATTGCAATATTGAAAGATTCTATGGGCAAGAAATGATGTGCCCATATTGATGATGCACGAAGCATCAAAAGAAGATGGAAGGAATACACAGACTCACTGTACCAAAATGAATTGGTTGATGTTCATCTATTTGTGGAGGTGGCATATGGTCATGAATGGTTTTGGTTACTTTTTGCTGCTCTAACAGATATGCCACAGGTGAAATGGCTTTAACAATCAGGAGTTTATTTTCTTACAGTGTAGGAGGCTAGAATTCTGAGTTCAAAGTGCTAAGCTCTAGGGGCTGTGTGAAAGTCCCTCGACTTTGGACTTCTGCTCTACCTCTTGTTCCCGGCCCACTGAAGCTGGAGGTATCTCTTCACTCGGTGCTGGCTGCTGAGGCCGACAAATCCAAGGTCAACAACTGAAAAGGCACACTCCAAATGTTACCAAACCACATGGCAGGCCATTGATTTAAGTCCATGAAGAATCCCAAGATTGGCAGACAACATAGCAGACTGCTAAATAATGACTTGGCTATGTACAAGATTCAACCGTACCAAAAGCTCAAGACCTTTCTTTCTCAAAGCTGCTTCTTATATCCTGGAACCAGACTACATGCCTAAAACTGCTACTAGCTACTGCAGTAGGTTCCACCATGGAATTGATTTCCAGTCTCACCCTGGGAAATACCTACATCCAGTTGCCCAGCTACTCAACAAGGCCCATCTAAGTTGGCACACAACCTTGACTACCACAAGAACCAGTGGTGTGAAAGGAAGAAGTCAAAGCTGCACTGAAGAAATTGTCAAAAAACAAGGATCCAGGAATTGATGGAATACATATGGAGATGTTTCAACAAGCAGATGCCGTGCTGGAGTGCTGGAGGCACTCACTCAGCTATGCCAAGAGATTTGGAAGACAGGTATCTGGCCAATGGGCTGGAAGAGATCCTTATTTCTACACATTCCAAAGAAAAGTGATTCCACAAAATGTGGAAATTATTGAACAATATCATTAATATTGCAAGCAAGTAAAATCTTGCTGAAGATAATTCAATAATGGCTGCAGCAGTATATTGATAGGAAACTTCCAGAAATGCAAAGTGGATTCAGAAGAGGATATGGAATGAGGGATATCATTGGTAATGTCAGATGGATCTTGGCTGAAAGCAAAGAATACCAAAAAGATGTTTATTTGTGTTTTATTGACTATATGCAAAAGCGTTCGACTTTGTGGATCAAAACAAATTACGGATAATATTGAGAAAAATGGGAATTCCTGAACAACTTAATTGTACTTATGAGGAACCTGTACATAGACCAGG